ATGATTTTTTTCTCATTGTATTTTTATTTTTCATAGTGTTTTTAATTGACATAACTGGGCATATCTTGATACATATATATAAGATATAAAGTATTATGATCAAATTAGGTGTTAGCATAGTTAGCACCTCAGACTTTTTTTGGGGGGGCGGTGCTAGGGATGAACCCAGGGCTTCCTGCATGTTAGGTAAGCACTTTGTCTCTGGCCGCATCCCCAGCCCCCTCAAATCTTGAGGAAGAGTCTCATTAAGCTGGCCTCTGCTAGGTGGGTGCCCCCTGCTACAGCCATGCTCTCAGCCCTTATGTCTTCTTAATGTTTTAAAAATGTTAAAACTCTTTGATTCACATCGTAATTGTTTTGCAGTGTACTGTGAAGGAAAATCTTCCTTGTGATTCTTTCCATGTAGCTGAGCAGAGTTTATACCAGCAGTTAAGCTTTCCATAGAAACTTAACTCCATTCGGGACACAGCTGCAGAATATGTCTGAGAACACAAAGTAATACATCACACATTGTCAAATACAGGGCCTGTGCAGGAGGTGTATGGGAAGATGGTGTGAGGTGTAAGGCTGATGATGCTTACACTTCTACTTAGGCCTCCTTCGGTTCAAACAATAGAAAACCCAAGTTAGGCTGATTTAATTTAAACAAAAACGTTTTACGAAGAAGAAATTGTATGGGTTCACGTAACTGAAAAGTTCAGCGGATGTGCTTGCTGCAAAGCGTGTCATTCCCTGAGTACAGGTGTCGTCACTCATGGTTTCCTCTGTTTTTTGACCTTCCTCTTTTCCCTGAGCATCCTTTTTAGCTTTTTAGTAGTGGGTCCTCACATCCTCAGGTTTACATCCTCTTAGGTCTGTGTTTGGAAGGAAAGAATGTCTTTTCCTTGAAATTCCCTTACAAGTCTAGAAACTGACCTGATTGTCTTCTTTGGCTCCCTTCTGTCTTCACCGGAAGTATGATGATTGCTAGAGAGGCACCCTGGGCCTGTTCCAAACTCGTCAGTGCTGGTGAGGGGGTGCTCTGTTGGGCCAGACCTGGGTTACTTGCTTTTCCACATTGAAGCCACACAGGCTGAGTGGAGCTTTCCCAAATGAATTCGGGGTATTTGAGGAATAAAAGGCATAGGTTAGGCTAGTTATGCTGCAGTGACAAGCAGCACAGAAAAAGTCTCAGTGGCTTCCTACAGATAGCCATAACCGAAGTTTCCTTCTCATTCGTGCTGAGTCCACTGGGGATTCTTGCAAGTCTGCAGCTCAGCCAGCTTCCATGTAGTGGCCTCCAAGCTTCTTTGTCTTGTGGTGTCTCTGTCACGTGTCCACATGCTGCTTTGCAGTTGACGCATGCCCCTTGTCACTTCTGCTCATGATCTGTTGGCCAGAGCCAAGAGTAGGGAGGGAGGTAAGAGAGGAAGGAGGACAGCAGTCTTTGTGCGTGTGTGGAGAGAGGGCAGCTGGTGGGAGCAAGCGTGAGATGGTGTAACTACCTGGTGAGCACAGACAATGGAGCATTATCATCTCGGGCAGCCTTGGCCCTGTCTGTCAGGCTCGTTCTGTGTCTTCCTGTCTTTGACTAGTATAAGCAATGCATTTGGTCAGTGCTTAGAGCTCTCCAGGGGCTTACTGATAGTCACTGTGCCTTTCTGAAGACACACCCTTTGACACTCAGGCCATAGATTTCTCACAGGTACACACGGCTCTGTGAGAGACAGTGCTGGCACTGCTGGACTTCAGGCTTTCATTAAAGGAGAGGCATTTAGCATTTCTGAACATGAAGGGGACGAGGTAGTTGGTAAACATTGTGCTTCCCAAGCTCAGATCTCTACACAGCTTAAAATATTTCCTTGACTAGAGGGAAGATGTGTGACTTCTGGACCTAAGTCCTGGTATCCTTTATTTTCTCTCCCTGTCAGTAGTAAAGACAGAATTTAGGCATCCACTTGAGCTTTCAAGTTCAGACAGACTCTTTGCGAGGGCTGCCCATTCTGTCCTATTCATGTTTGCGTGAACTGTTTTGGTAAGGGTGGCAGGGGTGCGGGGATCCCTCTTAGGGTCTTTTGAGGATGACACATAGAGCAGAGCAGCCAGGTGTTCTGGCGATGGCAGTCATGTGACATTCACTGCCTTGGGCTCTGGCCAGTGGTGAACCTGTGTCACTCCTAGGACGCTGATAAGGGGGGATTTTTCCCGCTTCACAGGAAGCTTTTAGAGCTTCTCTTGCCTATAAAAGTGAGTGATTGGTCACCTGAAAGCCATGCTCTTAGCCACCCTGAATCACTATGCTGCATGGACAACATTGTGTGGTCACATCCAAAAAATGACATGGTCTGTGACTTGTTCATTGTGTAAGACAAGGGTTAGACACCCAGGGGCTGGGCAGTGCTGGACTGTCCCCTGCCCGGAACTCGTTCTTGTGAGCCATCTGCCCTCAAGTTTCTTAAATGTCAGTCTGTTTACTGGCCTCATATCTGTGTTATTTGCAAATGAAAAAAAAAATTACAACAACAAAAAACACAGGTTACTGCCTCATTGGTTTTGACAAAGGAAGCTGATGAAGAAGTGGAACTGTTGGTGCATATTAGTTGTGGGTTTTCAGTAGACTCAAGTCACAGCTAGATCAGTGTGAATGAAATTGATTTATTCATTCATTCGTTTACCTTGTTGGTCTGGAAACTCTGAGTCGGGGACATAGAGGCTTGGTTTCAGGGGATGTAATGTGGGAACAGGCTTCAGGGGACAGCCTTTCCCCTTCCCTCCCTCCTTCCTTCCTCTCTCTGGGGATTTGAACAGAGCTTGTATTCGCTAGGCAGGTGCTCTACCACTTGAGCTACGCCTCCTCTCTTTTTTCTTTATTTTCCAAATAGGGTCTCATTTATGCCTGGACTGCAGTCTTCTTATTTATGTGTCCCATTTACCTGTAATGACAGGTGTGTCATCATACCCAGCATTATTGGTTGAGACGGAATCTTGTGAACATTTTGCCTGGGCCTACCTTGATCCCTCCTGATCTCTGTCTCCTGAGTAGCTGGGATTACAGGAGTGCATTGTGTGTGCATTTTTCTAGGGCAAGGATTCAATAGTTTCTGCTAGGTTTTCCAAGGGATTTCTATCTCAAAGAGCCTGTGAAGTGCTTGGGATGCTTGTGGATGCCTCAGTACAGCTGGGACTGTGCCCTGATCGAGGCCTGGTCCCCCAGTTGGAGCTGTTACCGGGTAAGAGTAGTACCTCCTGACTGTTCTAGGGGAGTCATTACAGTGGAAGTGGATACTGTGCTGCTCCTAGTCAGAAAGAAATGAACAGACAGGAAAGGGGATGCTCAGAAGTGCTGACTGACTCTCTCAGCCCTTCACAGAGGCTGCTTGGTCCCGTGATCCAGGGATGGAGTTAGAACTTAGATTTTGAAGCTGTGCTTCCCAGATTCAAATGCCTGTCCTGCCACTGGTTGGCTGTGTACCCTTCGGCAAAGCTTGTAATTTTGGTGTGCCTCGACTGTGCACATGTGTGAGGTAGTAACCTAGTATTTGCTTCATAAGGCTGCTGAAGGGATGGAATGAGGCAATGCACAGTCTTTCTGATTGCACGTGATGCACGATCTTGCGCTTCTTAAAGACCGTCTGCTATTGCATCTGTGGTCCCAGCTGCTCAAGAGGCTGAAGCAGGAGCATTGCTTGAGCCCAGGGGTTCAGGCTCACCTTGTGAGACGCCATCCCAAAAAGGGGCTCCAGCTGTCCTGATGGAGCCAGGAGGCTGTCCTTCATAATGGCAAGAGTATTAAAAACACAGGTCAGTTTTTGAGTACAAGTTTTAGTTGTTTTGCCCATAGCTTCAGAAATAGCTCTAGCTTTTGGTATTTCTGAGCCGTTACAAGCAAAATTTGATGCACAAAATCCTAAAAAAGGTAAATGAATTCTGTCACATATCTTTTTAGCAAAATTAGGATGGTCTGTATTTTTGTCACAAGACTGATGGCACGAAGTTTTTCCTTTTTAAATGACTCCCTATTAGATGACTATCTGGATGAGAATACAACATTTCCTTTTTGTATTTGAATTATACAGTGTTTGCTCCCAAATTTCATTGAGGGTGTGCTCCTGAGACTCTCTTCAGCTCCTGCATCATGCTCTGGAGAGCTGCTCCCTGTCTCCTGCTGTCAGCTCAGATACATCTAATAACTGTGAAATGGCTTTCTTCTTCTTTTCTGTCATTTTGAGTGGGAAATAAAAGTGAATTCTCTGCCGTGTTCCATGAAAGCCCTTTAGAGCTTCTCAAAAACGGTGCAGTGGGGGGCTGGGAGTGGAAGCATGGGGTCGTGGGGCTGGCTTTTCTTACCATGGCACCATTTTGGAGGCTCTCCTGTCATTCTCTTGCTTTCTTAATTTGGTCTTTTTTTATTTTTTGCAATCATAGGTGGTGTCATCATGGATAATGATGAATTGTTTCCTAGGAGGACAAAAATAGCAAGCTATTTCAACATACTGGAAAAACAGGGCCACTAACATGCCCTGTGGCTTCTAGGATTGTTTTCCATGTGGACCAGAGCCTGGGGCCTCACACAGGCCAAGCTTCAGCTCTCCTTCAGCCCCAGCCCCGCTTTGTAGTATTTTAAAAGGGCTCATTAAATTTATGAACACTGTAAGAGTCAAGTTTTGGTAGAGCCCCAAGAAGGAATAACCGTCATGAAATCGCTATCTCTGCCCATGGAGCTGCTGCTGTCCAGTGACCCTGATGGTGTGTGGGGGAGTCACACTAATGATGACAGCTGGAGGGAAGGGTCACAAAAGTGAACGCAGAGACAGCACAAGAGGGTGCACAACGAGGGGTTATGTGACACTGTCAGGTTGGTTATGACACACCACTATACCCAAGTCTCATGGAGTAGGTTATGGTTGTATCCTCAGGAAGTCTATAGTGGTAGAGCTCTCTCCGGTTTACCCATGTAATTTGGAAGTCACACTAAGCCTTGTGTGTTATGTGAGGCAATGTGTTTTTGTCTTTACTCCTAGAGTTGGTTCCTTCAATTATGAACCACCTGCTGAATCCGGACGCCATCTTCTCCAACAACGAGATGAGCCTGTCGGACATCGAGATCTATGGCTTTGATTACGATTACACCCTGGTGTTCTATTCCAAGCAGCTGCACACGCTCATCTTCAACGCTGCACGGGACCTGCTCATCAACGAGCACCGGGTACGCGCGGCCTTTCCCCTTACATAGCTGCAGAACCAACAGCGTGGCCGACGGGCCCCAGCCCGCACATGGGAGTCACTTCGGTCCTTGCCAGATTTCCAGTGACTCTCCCTGGAAGAAAATTGTGTTTAAAAAGTCTTTAGCTGTCTCTTGGAAAAGACTATCCCAGGGTATGTGGTAGTGGAGAGTTGGCTGCAGATATTTAAACTCCCATTTTTCACAAGGTGACAGCATAATTTCTTACAAAGTCTGCAGAAATTATGGTTTGTTGAGCTCTGTTGAGAAGGAATTCCTCAAATGCTGAGTGTTTTACCTGCAGCACCAGCTGGAGTTGTTTTCCTGTGTAACGAACGGAGCATGCACGCGTCTGCTGATGGCATAGTGTTTTTGGGAGCTCTTAATGAGGAAGGAAAAATGGAAAGCACTGAATCCTAGCGTTCTTTTTCCTAACCTGGCTTGAGGACACGTTTCAGCAGTCAGGATGAGAAGTGACCGTAGAGGTCCACGGGCCAGTGCCCTCTGTGCCACCCCAAGCAGCACGGCTACAATCTCCGTCTCAGACTACAACCTGTTGCTCCAGGATTTTGTTCTGGTTTTGAACTTCTTGCATTATTGGTTGAGCACTTCTGCTTTGGTTCAGCTGTTATCCTTGATCTCTTCTCTTTTCCCCCATTTATTTCCTCTGTCACATACTCCTCAGGCCTTTGTTCCTTGCCTCCTTGAGCCCTGGCCTGCTGTGGAATCAGAGGGTAGAGAATTGGGTAGGACACAGTCACTTCCCGTGGACAGCCTGCAGCAGCCTGGATGCGAGTCAGGCCCACAGGAGCTGGTTATGAAGCCATCTGTAGTGGCCCCTGTGGAAATCTGACAGAGAGCCAAAGAGGCACAGAGGATGGTTAGAACAACTTTCTCTGCTTAATTAAGGGAATTGGGGAAACAGCAAAGGAGGTGGAATTTCAGCCCAGTTTGCCAGCAGAGGTGGGCTGGGGCTGGGTGGAGTGGGTGGGAGTGAGAAACCTGGAAACCCAAATCATGAAAAGGAGCGCTTTGTACTTGGTGGAGTTATCAGTGGATATACGAGGGAGTCAGTGTTTTATAAACCAGCCATGTGTCCTCCAAGACTTCTCTTTTCCCAGGCTGGTCATTCTTACTCTTTCAACCATTATCCTTTGTCCTCTTTCCTTTTCATCATTCTGGTCACCCTCCTTTGTGTATGATCTGCTTGGTCCCTCTCAAATATAAAGCCCTGAACTGAGGATGTTCAGGTGAGGTCTGGGTGGTGTGGAATGAGTAGAGGAAACCATTGCCTCCCTGGTTCTGGATACTGTATTCTTACTAATGTAGGCAAAGTTTCATGAGTTTTGGATCCTGGCCATTTGATCCAGTATATTCTTTTTTTTTTTGGTGCTGGGATCGAACCCAGGGCCTCGCACATGCTAGGCAAGTGCTGTGCCACCGAGCTATTTCCCAGCTGATCCAGTATATTCTTTGACTGGAGGCTAGCAGCTCACTTTGTCCTGATCCACACGGCATCTGGCAGACATATTCCTTCCTTTAGTCCCTAAGCCAGGAGGCAGCCTGCTTTGTTACTGCCACTGTGCCACATCTCTCCACGTGTTCAAGAGACTCTGTGCCCCTCCCCTGGGCCGGGAGGATGGATGCTGAGTAGCTAGGTAGCTCTTCCCATGCTGTCGGCTGCATCCATCCATTCACCACCCATGGAAGGTGACACCAAGGCTGCCATGTCGGTGCTGGCATCTAGGCCCATGTCACTTGTGGAATGTAAGTCATTGTGGTAACAGCTCTGTTCTCTGGTTGTCTGCTAAGTGTCCAAGTTCTCAAGCCTGACTGCTGGGATTCAAATCCTGCTTTCCTCATTGACTTCCTACCCAATCTTGATCAACTCACCCAATTTCTCGGGGCCTCAGTTTCCTCTTCTGTAAAAGGGGCCTCGTAACAGTGCTTTTGCCATTATTGTTGTGACTGTTCTGGCAGGTGGAAAACACTTAGTAGGTGTTGGCTAGTACTAATGTCGTTGTCTCTAATCTGCACGACAGCCTTTCACGTACATGTGTGTCTGTTGTGCATTTGAAGAAACAGCCTCAGAGTGAAGCTGCCAGGTCAAGACCAAAGGCCAGTAGGAGACAGAGCCGGGATTTGAACTCAGATCTGTCTCCCCGGGACTTACATGCTGTTCTTTATTCTCCATGGCTCCTCAGAGGATTAATAACACCTTTCTATCCCAGTTTTTTGTTCAGATGAAAATAAGATATTGATGAAAATAAAAAATGTGTGAACATAAAACATTTATGAAATTGGGGGGAGAGATGAAAGAGATGGATAAGTAAGAGGTGGGATTGTGCCTGGAAAGCCAGCAGATTGAAGGGCCTCGTCACTTCATTGTCATTATGCCTGTTTGTTGCTTTGATCAAAGAAATGTTATACTACTAATTACATCGGGCATATTAATAGAGCTGGTTATGCATCTGCAGATTTTCCTCTTGCTGTGATTGAGCAAAACAGTTATTCCCAGCAGCACTGAGTTTGTGCCATTCTTCCTGCCAAAATTCAATGCACTTTATGTGCCTGTAGCGATGGGCGGACATCTGCTTTTGAGACGCACTGTAATAGGACAGTAAATTCAGCAATTAGCATCATTCCAAGAAGCAAACGTAAAAAGTTCAGCTCCTTTATAGTTACCCTTTAAAAAAAAAAAAAGAACAAATTTTTTTAAATCTTTTTTTTTTTTAAATTGTTCTGGGAATAGGATACATTGTGACATTTACCAAAGTTCTTACAATATATCATAGTTGAATTCACCCCCTCCATCATTCTCCTTTACTCCCTCTCCCTCCATTCCTGGAACAGTTTCAACAGGTCTCAACTTAAGAACAAGTTCTTATAAGATGGAAATACAAATTGACAATAATTATATTCATTTCATCTATCCAAGGAATAGAAGGGGCATTGGAAGGGCTCTTGATTTCATCACCTCTGTCACATCTTTGTCAGCATCTCTTCTCATCAGTGGATACTGGTGACCACCCTCTCGGTGGTTTAGATCCAAAGTCTCATGTTACCTATGACTGCTTGCATCCCATATCCCAGGGCCGATTCATTGCTCAGCAAGTATGGTGGGCCCCCTCTTTCTCGAAATAAACCTGTAGTTTTAAGATTGCTTAAGGCTTCTAGAAAAGTTGCAAAGGTAATATACCAGGTTTCGGTGTACATCCATGTCCAGGTCCCCTCATGTTAGCATTTGCATCACTGTGGTGCATTGTCACAAGGACCAGTGTTACTAGCGGGATTCTGCACTTTGTTCCCACGTCCTTAGTTTTTACCACACCTGCTCCCCTATTCTGGCTCTCAGCAGGACACCATGTTAGAGTTGGCTCCATGTCTCCTTAGGCTCCTCTTGGCTCTGGTGGGGTTTCCCAGGTTTTCTATGCTTTTGAACAATAGTAGTCAGGTATTTTGTTGGATGCCCCATCTTGAGGTTGATTTGATGTTTTTCTCATGGTTAGACTGGATTGTGGGTTTGGCAGGAAGGCCACAGATGTACAGCACCGTTTTCATCACATCCTAGCAAATGCTTGACTTACCACGGATGGTGTTGGCTTTGATCACCCTGCTGGGGGTGCTTCTCAGGCTTCCCAGTCCTTTTACCTCTCTCCATCCTGAGCACTGGGAGGAAGTCACTGTGAGCTGTGTGTTGTTCCTCATCCATAAGATACTCACTGATGTGTCCTACTCTATGTGCTTTTTGTCTCCCCTACTGCTACTGCCCTGGTCCCATCACCTCTCACAGTGCTGCAGCAGCCTTCCCTCAGATTTCCATGCTTGTGTTGTTGTCCCACAATCCGTTTTCTATTTGACAGCAAGAGTGAGCCTTTAAATGTTATAGAAGGCCTTCCAGTGTCACCTGCTGCCCCACCCCGCTCCACCCCCACCTTCCTCTCTGGCCTCTTCCTTCTCTCCTGCCCTCGCTCCCCTATGCTCTGACCAGAGGCTCCTAACTTTGGACCTTTGTACTTGCTGTGTCCTCTGCCTCAGCATACTGTTCCCACCCCTAGACAGCCTGAGGCTTGCTGGTCCCCTTCCTCCAGGTCTGACCTCACCCTGCACTTTCTTCACCATCGTTTCCAGGCACTGGGCTCTCTGTGTGCTCATTTGTTTACGGTGCGCCTCCTTAAGGTGGGACTTCTCAGGAGCACAGACTGTCACCATCGTTCACCGCCTCGTTCCCAGGTCCTGACACTGTGCTAGGCACAAGGTTTGTGCTGAGGACGTGCTTTATGTACACATCCATGGATTCTGCACATCTGAGGGAGCACTGTGCTTCATGTGGGGCCAGCTCTCCCTTGAGATCACTTTCTGTTCTGTGGGGATTTTGGAGTGCTTTTCATGTCTTTCTGCCCTGCCTCTAGTTAGACTCCTGAGCCAGCCCACTTTAAGTATCAAACCGATATTCTGGAAATGAGTATGTTGCAGGCATTGGATCTCTGAAACCCAGCCAGCGCTAATGTCGAGGTCACTAGCTGTGTCCAGAGAGCTGCACTTGGCCTCGCAGGAGGAACATGGCCAGGCTGTAGGAATCCTGGGTCTGCTGTTGCATTAACTTTGCTTGAGCTGTAGGGACATTTTTGTTTAGGGGACACTTTGGTCTTTATCAGTACACAGTTGCCTTCTGAGATTGCATTAGTATCGGAACAGACTCAGGTCCTGAAGGAAACCAGATGGGGCCTAAATCAGAATTCTAATCAAAATCCCCAGAAATTCCCTTTATCATTTGTATGTGTATGTATTTTTTTTTTTAATTCAGTTCTGGGGATTGAACCACCTAGGATCTCCCACACGCTAGGCAAGTGCTGTGTCACTTGAGTCCCATCCCAGCCCTTGTGTTTTTATTTTGGTTTTGATACAGGGTCACTTTCTTGGGGCTGGCTTTGAACTCAAGATCCTCCTGCCTCCCGAGTAGCTGGGATTATAAGTACATACCACCACTCCTGGCTTCATTTATATTTCTTATTGTTCTGGGGGTACCAGTTATCTCCATGACACCTCACATTGGGTGAGTCTTGTTTTTCTGGGTGGTGCAAATTTTCTCAACTGTGAAGAGTCCTGAAACACCTAGCCACAGACCATTGGAGAGGGCTGTCACCTGCTGCTGCTGAGTGCCTTGGCTTGCTGGGCTGGATGTGATGGTTGACAGTCATCCTCAGGGATGTCGTGGGCTCATGTTATATGCTGGAGAGGAGCCAGAATGAGGACATTTTTGACTTGGCTGGTTGTGGGGGAGATTACAACTTAGGGGCAGGAGAGGAGCCCAGAAGTCACCTTGTCCATCTGTTTCGTTTTTCAGGTGAGAGAAGAGGCCTTGGAGAGGACTCGCCCAATGTCCCTCAGGAGCCTGGCAGAGTGACTGTAAAGCCCCAGGACTCCCAGCTCCCAGCCCACTGAGGCAGCTCAGTTTTATTGAGCATTTGCTATGTGCCAGGCTCTGCCCTGACTCCCCACAGGCATTTTTTAACTTAATCCTCTCTACTTCCGCAGGACAGAGCTCTTGTTACCCTCATTGTGTAGATGAGAAGACCAAGGCTCTGAGAGACAGGACCTTGCCCAAGGTTATCTGCTAGCATAGGGTGGGACCAGGATCTTCTGGTATGTAGTGGGACCAGGATTTGGCACCTGCTCTCATCACTAAGGCTTTGTTTTTCCTGGAGCCCTTGGCCTTTTCAGCTACTTTTGCCAGCCCTCAAAGTCATTGACTATTGTCTTTTATGTTTTAACCATTTGAAAACACTTGAAACTGTGAACCCTTTAAACAGGCTTGTTGAGCCCCAATGAGCTGGCAGGTGCTCCTGTCACATTTGATGCAGAATTGATTATGGGAGTTTAGTGGGGGACTTGGATATGACACAGACATGGATTCAAATCCTGGCCCAACCAGTGTGTAGCTTTGTGACCTTGGGCAAGTTCCTTGACTCTGATCCTCAGATTACTAGGCAGTAAAATAGGCAGAGATGCCCTGCCTTGTTCATGCTGGTGCAGTAAGGGAAAAGTAAGCCATAGAAAATGCTTGGCTTGGTGCTCAATGAAGGCACCTCTTGGTGACATTTCAGTAGGTGGCTCCTGGCTGGCCTTATTCTTCACCTCATCCTGGATAAAAGGAGACTGCAGAGGTTTTGAAACTCTTGGCCTCCCTTTGGTGTGAGCAGAACCATGTCACCGTCGCTGGGTTCAGTGTGGGCTATGGAAAGGGTGTCAATAAAAATGCAGAACTGTACGTGGTGTTCAGGACTCTTGGAAACGCCCACGAGGGGAAATACCAGTTTGGCTCACATGCCAGGTGGCCAGATAAATGTGGCCAAATGTGACATTTGAGTCAGAGCTTCATGCAGCCTGACTTGAGATCTGCTGCGTGTATTCAGCCCAGAAGCTCCAGGAACTGTTCTCACATGAATGACCCTCACCCTGTCCATGAAAAGTTAGCAGCCCACTATGGAGAGGCTTCCTGGCAGGGGGCGGGGGGGGGGCGTGTCTTGATGGTGTTCCAGGTTTTTACCTCTGTAGTTTACACCCTGATAGGTTGTAAGCTGGTGATGGCTCCTCTCAGGCTCTGGAACATGTACTTTGTCCTCTGGCCTGAGCCTCACTCCCTGCTTACCCTGCCCCTGCTGCCTGGCCAATGGAACTCCTGATGTCCTCTCCGTAGAATGGGCATGGCAGGCAGGGCCCACCTGTAGTAGCCGCAGAATCCTGGCAGGTCTGTGCTCTCGCTGAGATAGCTGTGATCTCGCTCTGAGACTTGGCAGGGGAGGGAGGGAAGCACATAGGTGCCTGGAGCACACCTGCATAGTGCGAGCGATGGTTTCACAATGAGGACATAACAGGGGAGCTGGACTGCCCCTCAAAGTCCTGTGTGTTCTCAGACTGAGGGGTGGAGCAGGAAGAGGGAACCCTGGGGAGAAAGGGGCTCCCTTGGGCAAGTGGGAGGGGGCTGTGGGCTCTCCAGCTGGGGAGGGGAGTGGCAGCCTGGTGTCCAGGCAGAACAGCAGTGGAGCAGTTGTGGAGGGGTCCTCTTGGAAATACCAGGGCTCTGTGGGAAACCCCATAGTGGGGCTACATGGCGGCGTCAAATTTGAGCTGAATGGAGGTCGATGGTCTTTTTGGGAGAAATTGTGCTATTCACAGTGAGGGAACATTTCAGTTCCTCAGTAGCCTTACAAACAGGAGGTGGAAGTGGTGGATCTGGGGGAGCACCAGATGAGTTTCAGAGTCTAGGGGCACTGGGAAGAGAGGGCAGGGGAGGACAGAGTTAAGATGAGAGAAGGTGGGGTAAGGAAATGAGGCCTGACTTGTGCTTGGACAGTGAAATAGGACCTGGGACAGGATGGAGGGCTCTGTGGCCAGGGAAGCAGAGGGACAAGCTGTTCACGGGTGCAGTCTCTGATCAGAAGATTTCCAAACTCTTTGTGTCGCACGTGGAAGCATCCAGGCAGGACTTGTGGGTGTGATAAGGAAGGTAACGGAGTTTATTAAAGATTAAGGGAAGGCATTACAAAGGCCATGGTGGGCCAAGTAAGAGGGAAGCAGAGAGTCTTTCTCTTTCCAGGTGCTTTTCAAACCTACACTAAGCAACAGGAAGGGAAGGACCTGATGATTCCTAACCGTCAATAATCGATGAGTGGGGAGGGGCGTGGACCAGGTGGAGGTGGTTTGAGCTGTCCCTGCACCAGGGTGTGAACAACCTGTACACACTTGCAATTGAAAAGAAGGCTCAGAGAAAGAGAAGGATGTTCAACCTGAAACACAACATTAAGTCATATATGTTCTAAGAGGCTTGAACTTTCCCTAAGTGTAGCCTGCCTCAGTTTGTCCCCATAGATCCCACCTTCCCACCAAAATGCATCTGCTCCCTAAGCATTTGCACAAGGGCCAGAGTTTGGTACACCATTTGTTAAAACCTGCTCTTTTCTTCTCTCCCAGTATCCTGTGGAAATCAGAAAGTATGAGTATGACCCAAACTTTGCCATTCGTGGACTGCACTATGACGTACAGCGGGTAAGTCTTGTGTTTTTTACAGTTTCTTGGTGTTTGGTGATAAAACTGTGCCTAATAAAATGGTACTTGTGGTGCTGTTGTTTGCTGATGAGGTTAATTCATTTTAAAATAATGTCGTTTGGGTCTGCAGAACCAAAGTATCCAAATCTGTTTGGATGAAACCTCTTGGAAGGAAGAAAAGACTGAACACACCCAGCTTTTTGGAAGTGTGTTTCTTGCCAGTAGTAGTCAGTTTTAGTGTTGGGAGGAGCCAGCTACCATTTTGCTTTCCTTTTTTCTTTTGCCGATTGGCCATTTTCTTTTTTTTTTTCTTTTATTCATGTATGCATACAATGTTTGGGTCATTTCTTCCCTCTTCCCCCCACCCCCTCCCCCTCCTCCTCTACCCCCTCGCTATCAGGCAGAAACTATTTTGCCCTTATCTCTAATGTTGTTGAAGAGAGACTACAAGCAATAATAGGAAGGACCAAGGGTTTTTTTAAATTAATTAGTTAATTAATTTTTTTATTATTCATATGTGCATACAATGCTTGGGTCATTTCTCTTCCCTGCACCCACCCCCTCCCTTACAACCCACCCCGCCCCCTCCCTCTTCCCCCCACCCCCTCAATACCCAGCAGAAACTGTTTTGCCCTTATCTCTAGGACCAAGGGTTTTTGCTAGTTGAAATAAGGATAGCTATACAGGGAGATGACTTGCATTGCTTTCCTGTGCATGTGTGTTACCTTCTAAATTAATTCTTCTCAAACTAACCTTTTCTCTAGTTCCTGGTCCCCTTCTCCTATTGGCCTCTGTCACTTTAAAGTATCTGCATTAGTTTCTCTGCAATGGAGGCAACAAATGCTATCTAGTTTTTTGGGTATCTAACCTATCCTCATACCTCCCTTGTGTGCTCTCGCTTTATCATGTGCTCAAAGTCCAATCCCCTTGTTGTGTTTGCCCTTGATCTAATGTCCACATATGAGGGAGAACATATGATTTTTGGTCTTTTGGGCCAGGTTAACTTCACTCAGAATGATGTTCCATCCATTTACCAGCGAATGATAACATTTCATTCTTCTTCATGGCTGCATAGAATTCCATTGTGCATAGATACCACATTTTCTTAATCCATTCGTCAGTGGTGGGGCATCTTGGCTGTTTCCATAACTTGGCTATTGTGAATAGTACTGCAGTAAACATGGGTGTGCAAGTGTCTCTGGAGTAACCTGTGTCACATTCTCTTGGGTATATCCCCAAGAGTGTTATTGCTGGATCATATGGTAGATGTATGTTTAGATTTTTAAGAAGCCTCCAAATTTTTCTCCAGAGTGGTTGTACTAGTTTACATTCCCACCAGCAGTGTAAAAGGGTTCCTTTTTCCCCACATCCTCGCCAACAGCTGTTGTTAGTGGTGTTGCTAATGATGGCTATTCTAACAGGGGTGAGGTGGAATCTTTGGTTTAATTTGCATTTCCTTTATGGCTAGAGATAGTAAACATTTCTTCATGTGTTTTTTGGCCATTTGAATTTCTTCTTTTGAGAAAGTTCTGTTTAGTTCACTTGCCCATTTCTTTATTGGTTCATTAATTTTGGGAGAGTTTAGTTTTTTGCATTCCCTATATATTCTGGTTATTAGTCCTTTGTCTGATGTGTAGGTGGCAAATATTTTCTCCCACTCTGTGGGTGTTCTCTTTAGTTTAGAGACCATTTCTTTTGAGCAGAAGCTTTTTAGTTTTATGAAGTCCCATTTGTCTATGCTATCTCTTAGTTGCTGAGCTGCTGGGGTTCCACTGAGAAAGTCTTTGCCTATACCTATTAGTTCCAAAGTATTTCCTACTCCTTCCTGTACCAACTTTAGAGTTTGGGGTCTGATATTAAGGTCCTTGATCCGTTTTGAGTTAATATTGGTTTAGGGTGATAAACATGGATCTAGTTTCAGTTTTTTGCAGACTGCTAACCAGTTTTCCCAGCAGTTTTTGTAAAGCACTTTAACAAGCAAGACTTCTAGGAACAGTGTGCTTCTTGTCAGGACAACTAAGGCTGATAGGATTTATTAGACACCTGGATTGCTCGTTCCCTATGTAAAGTGTTGTGCATTATTTGTATGTGCATGTGTTTATGTTTTTAAAGGCAATATTGATGAAGATTGATGCTTTTCATTACATCCAGCTGGGAACAGTCTACAGGTAAGAGCAGGAAGAGATAAAGGTAATCACCTGGCGGTGGTTTTGGGTGTCAGGGGTGAGGAGAGCTGCAGTGTGTGGCCTGTAGTTCCTTCACTCACTCGCTCACTCATTCAGGAGGAAGCACATCCTGGTGCTGAGGGCTTGGCTCCAGGGATGCCCTCAAGGAGCTGGGAGTGGAGTGGAGGGGAAAAAGCCACACAAGTGAAGGACTTGCAGCCCAGTGTGACACAAGCAATGGTGGAACCTTTTCAGGCCATGGGAAACCCTGGGGGGACTCTGGGGGAGGAGTGGCTCTCTGGAGGCCTCTGGGACCAGGGAACTGAGGTTCCTGGGGAGGAAGTGTGCGTTGCTTGGGGGAAGGGAGAGCAGTGTCCTGCTTATTAGAATTCACAGAAGTACTTGCTCAGCAAGAAGTCTTTGTAACTTTTAAAATGGGTGGTTCTCAGAGTGTTTTTTTAGGGCTGGAAGCATGACTCATGGGGTTGAGCACCCGTCTACAAAATGCAAGGCCCTGAGTTCAAACCCCAGTACCACAATAAATAAAAAATGAAATGGAGGATTTTACGTTTTTATCTTTTCCAATTCTAATTGGGAGGGTATTCAGGAATGTGATTTGCTTTGAGGATCATGTCACAAACCTTTAAAAAAGTCTGCCCATTTTAGATTCTTCTCTCCCAAATTCTTTGTGAGATTTGTCTATTTAAATCAAAGCAAAACACACACATAGGTATCCTAGAGAGCAGCCACAGCCCTGTGTTCCCTCTCCCTACCCAGGCACATCAGACTCCTTTGGGTTTTTTTTTATACACGCACGCAAACGCACATAAATAAATGTGATAATGTGCTCATAATTGTCCTTCCTAACTCACTGGTTGTGGACATTATCCCTGCTGTGGGGGTTGAGGATTTAACTTTCTGGAGCCTCCCACCTGCTCAGTCTCAGTCATCTATACTCATTAAGATGTTAGTATTTGTTTTTTTAAGTCAACCATTATGTCCATTATGACTTTGCAAGTCTTACCTCATTCACTCTTTTTTTTTTTTTAATTTTTTTTTATTTGATGTTGACTCCACGAGAAAATAAAACAAAAAAATCAATTACTCTGGTGTACATGAGATCAGAACAATACAACCACAGGAAAAAAATCTCAGCCCAGGAATGGAAACTGACACTTCAGTGCTATGGATATGCAACTCGCTTCATACCACAGTGTGTTTCAGCGTTTGCCAACTTTTTAAAATGCTTTTTGTGATCACCCATTCACAAAACTAAAAACCACACTTTCAACTTTGTGCCGAACCTCATTCACTTTTAAGCCAAGTAGTGCACTGTGATTATTTTATTCCTTCTACAGTGTTTGGTTTTTCTTAGCTTTAATAGCCTCATTCTTTGCATGCTTTGTTTTCCGTACAGGTGTCCCTGTTTCTTTTTTTCTAAGTGTCCTATCACATGTCAAATACGTGTTTCTTTTCCAGTACTTAAATGTTTTTGATAATCTACCATTTGTTTTTCTGTTTTTAAAAAATTGACTGCCCCCCTTATGCGGATCCAGTCTGGTTGCTTATTTTGGGACTTCCCTTTGCCACTTTCCCTCTCATTTCTCCCTCTTCCTTTTTCTGGCTTTACTCCCTCATTTTGCTGGAGCGCATCCTGCAGCACTATCCTTGTGCCTTCCAGCACCAAGCCTCTGGTGGTTAATCAGGTCTTCTTATCCGTGTCCCCTTGCATATCTCTGTTCTTAGGGTTAGTAATTTAGATGTCTCCTTTGCATATATTGTTTGTGTCATACTGAAATGTCCTGCCTGTCTTTGCTTTCTTTTTCTTTGACTCTTTCACTGACATCTTGAGTGTTTTAGGAGGGAGAAGAAATGTGGAGATAATAATGTTAGTAGTAATGAATAGTGGCTAACAAATACTGTGTCTTGCTATGGGCAAAGGTTTATTTTAGTAAACCCATTTGATCCTCAAATGTTCCTGTGAGATAGGCATTATTATTAGTTCCAGAGACGTGAGTAACTTGTCCAACGTCACTTAGGAGAAAAAAACAAAAAAGCCTGGGCTAGAATTCATACCTAGGCAGTGTGGCTCCAGAGTCTGTGCTCTTGGCCACCATGTGGTATGGTTTTTGTGAATGTCTGAGGACCAAGCAGAGGCCTTCAGCAGATCTTTTATTTATTTGTGTTTTTTTGGTAGTGAATCTATTTAATTTGTACTATTAAAAACAATATTTCCATTTATTTTGTAAGTAACATTAAATATAATTATATGTTTTTGTGTACTTGTCTCATTTTAGGAAAAATTAATAGGTGTAAAATTGTTGGATGAACATATTTATTCATTTTAAGGCTTTTAAAAATGACTTAATTGACCTCCAGAAAGATTGTACCACTCCCAGCAGACTTTTAAGTTTAAGGTTGCTACTTCATTTAACATACTCCTTTTTTTTCCTACTATTTGAGCCATGCCCCCAGCCCTTTTTGTTTTAGCTAGTTTTTGAATAGGGTCTCACTTTTATGTGTGGGGCAGCCTGGATTGAGATCTTCTATTTAGGCTTCAGCATAGATGGGATTACAGGTGCACACCACGCACCCAATATTCTATTGGTTGAGATAAGATCTTGCTAATTTTTTGCCTAAATTGCCCTCGAGCCACAGTCCTTCCAGTCTCTACCTCCTGGGTAGCTAGGATTAAAGGCAGGAGCCACTGTGCCCAGCTAAGACTTACCTTTTACCTTTTTTTTTTTTTTTTTGGCAGTACTGGGGTTTGAACTCAGGGCCTGTGCTTACTAGGCAGGCACCCTACCACTTCAGCCACAATTAGCTTTTTATTTCTTTTTTACATTACATGGAATATGTTTGATGTTTCCCCACATTGAGTACCTTTATGCTCACAGAGTCTACCACTTGACTTTCTTGTACTTTTGGACTGACCTCCCAGGGTCTGGTTGTTCCATTTTATTCAGAGGATGGGTCCTTGAGGCTTCCAGCCTTACATCTCAGCAGAGATTCCTCTGGGAAGGACCCAGCAAGTCCCACTCTTCCAGGTGAGGTTCACAGGCACATTCTGAAAAGTCACTGAGTACATTTCCAGCATCCGAAGTGTTCCTGGTCCTCTTCCTGGCTCCTGCAGCCTGTGCAGGTCACGGTGTGACAGAGCTGAGTGATCTGGAACCTCTGGATATGTAGGGTCCTAAAGATGGTGGTACCAAAAACCAACATTCTGTGGGGTTTTTTTTTTTTTTTTT